AACTACGGCGGAATTAAAAATAACGCTACTCTCCCCAATTCCGTCATTTGTTTACACAAACATGTCGCTTGTGGGTCTATTAAAATACATTGTTTTAGACGAGTCCATCTCGATCGTCACAGTCGACTCTGACAGTCATTTCATGAACTGGCTTCTCATAACATTTGATCCATATATTGCAAGCTTACAGAGTTCTTCGAAACGAAAAGAGGAAAATAAAATTTAAAAAATGTTAATTTGCTAGATATTAATCAACAAGACACTGAAGAACTAAATGCCGTTACCTCATTCCAGGATTAATCCAGATGAAGACTGAATATTTAAGTGCTTTGTTAATTATTAGTTTTGCCTCTAATTCTTTGATTTGTTTCCATATTGACCAATCTATATTTTTAATTTCCCCTTTATCGCTTCACAGTTTATTTATTTAAGAAAAAAATGTAAAAATATATTAAATATTTACTAGTAAATATTTCATTTATTTAATAGTAAAATATAGTTTATATAAATAAAAAAAGTTTAATTGCAATATTCTGACTCTTCCTCTGCGTACTTTGTGCTTACGGGCGTTGACAACTGTAGAGCCTATTCAATTAAAAGCATTTTTAACATTTTGAGTAAAATATTCTTCGAATCCTTATATCTTAACCAAACATAACTAGAAAACCCCTTTTTCAAGACACAATGCGCTTTTGAAGACATCTGCAGAAAAATAAATTGCAGTTCCTGAACTTAGATTGCTGAGTCGACAGAACATCGCGCTTTGATTCGCTTCAAGTACTACAGTCCATTCGCATCCACAATACATCCAACCTCAGATAACCTCGTTACACGAAATTTCCACCAAACGTTCACTGAAAAAGTTAATCATTTTCGACCTCATACATGTCTTAGTCGTTAGTAAAATTTATTCTGAGACATCTGTATATGCGTGTTTGTGCGCGCGTGTGTGTGTGTGTGTGTATGTGTGCATATGTGTGTGTGCGTGTGCGCATGTGTGAATGAGTATGAGTGATTGGGATAGGCAAAAACGAGAGAGAGAGAGAGAGAGACAGAGCGAGACAGGGAGAGAGAGAGAGAGAGAGAGAGAGAGAGAGAGAGAGAGGGTGGGGGAAGAAGGGAGCGTGGGTTTGTGAGTGGTAAATGAGGGATAGGCTCACTCAAAACCCTACACAGGAAATCTCCCAAGTCCCATTTACCTGAATGTCATGTTGGTTGCGTTGATGGCTGCGAGGTTCTGAAAGCCAGCTTCTTGCGGCGACTGCAGATGCTTCTGCTGCTGCTGAAAGGCTGCGACATAACAGCGGAGCTGTCGAGGCGGAAAAGGATGTATGATTAGACTCGGCTGGCTTTGACAATTCAATTCGAAGGCAGACGCTTAGCTGTTTACACTGCAGTGTCTCTGACCGGGAGGTCTGAGGTTCGAATTACGACGATGGAAGGATTTTCCACATTAGATAGAGAGCTAGGTCGAGTTCTGTTGCTGTCTGGAGGAGAATTCTAGCGGCTGGCTGCTCTGATGGGTAGTTTTCGGTGGTTTCTCCGATAAATCCAGGCGAATGCTGGAGCAATGCCCTAACAAACGGGCCACGGACCGCGCAATCTTTCCTTCCCATTCCTTATCCTACCCCACCCCTTACTTAGATACACTTACACTTGCATGCACTACACAACCACATATGTCGGTAGCTTAGAGCTCTTCGCGGTTGGAAAGGTGTCCCGCTGGTGGGAAATACCTGGTTGGGGAAAAACCCCGTAGCCGACGGTAGGTCAGCGCCCGAAATTATTGACTTCACCTCCCGCGATAAAACATGCACTTCACGTATGGGACTAATTACCTTAGCAGTTTTTTGCGCCCGGCATTACTAATCAACCGACCAACCAGCATAGCTGTTTACGGAATGAACAGTCATTGTGCTGATTCTCCAAGAAAGTTGAGACTCACAAGATCACAGATAAATAACACCGTGCGATATATCATGAAAGAATATGATGTATCAAGAAGTTAATTGTATTATAAAACGCTCGTTTAAAAGGCTGCAATATTTGGCAATAGAGGCAAATGAAAAATATCACTTATTCATAGGCAACCCAACTCCTTTGTGGTGAAATATTGCCGTGTCTTTGAAACGCCTCGATAAGAAAGTGTAGACTGCCTATCACTTACGATGAATATAGAAGTACAGGCATTACGTTACAATTCAATACACGATTGATTGTGTATTTTAAAGTCATAATGTTGCATTATGTACTATTTTAGTTTTCATCTTTTATTAGATATTTATTTAATTTACAAATTTCAGAGTTATATAAATTTCAAATTATTGTTTGAGGACAGATGAGGTTGCAAACTTTCACAGAATCTTGTTCTCGTGTTACGCGCTACTAGTAGTTGCGTGAGCATCGCCTTCGCGTCGCGCCATCTACGTTCAGAGCGTTTCATCTGTTTGTATCTTTCCCAACCAGAATGCGCTGCATGCCTCTCTTTCCTTTCAGTGTCTCACTCGTTCTCCTTTGTTCCCAGGTGGTTTCACTAAACGATAAATATTTATTATACATTTTCAACTTATTTGCATTAAAAAGGATATAAAATAACAGGTAATATTCAGAAAATAAATATTTATATAGTTTTCAGGAAATAAAAGGTACTTTTTTTATCATTAAATAAGTTTATTGAAAATTCTATTTTTCAAAATTATTAATACATTAATGTCAAAACTACAATAATTCTTAAAATTAATATAAATTGTGAGGACAAAATAGAGAATTCGTAACATCTATTTAAAACTAAACAGTTACTAAGCAGTACTAAGATACAAAGTGTTAAGAAATATCAAATTAATATTATTTTATCCACTTCGATGGTCTAGAGCCTGACAAAACGAAAGTGGCCGAAAGAGTACGGAGAATATCACTGTCGTAATAACAGTAAGAAACAAGTGTCCTAATAATCCATGGCCCTCCATTAACAACATTAATCGTTTTGGAATGTAATAGTAATAAAAGTAATGAAATGTAAAAGTAATAATGTAATAATTAACTATATCAACGTCAGCCTGAGAATTCGCAGACTAAATAGTCCCATATATACGAAAATTATAGTTCATTGGATTTTTACGAAGTGCATAAAACGTTCATTCGTACCGTAATTTCTTATTACAATAATCGATTGATAATCAAAACACCGTTTGATAATTTTCCTATCTCATATTGTACGACTAATATAATAAGCTACGTTGTGTGTCGTAAATAACTCGCCTTCTTTTATTCCTTGACCTTGGTTCACTGGAGCGCGGAAGGCGTTCGGACTGTTTCCAATTGTCGACAAGAAATAGTTTTAAACTTTTTGATTTTCACTTTCTCGCCCTTACGTAGGTACTTCGTAGGAAGAGATGTTATGTAATCCTGCCCCGAAAACGGCGTATTTTTGGCAGGAAAACTTATTGTCGGGCCCTGGTATTGTGGCGTCTTTGCCGGGGCAATAAATCACAGACGTGAACGGTTTGTAAATTATGTAGTATGTGATTTATTGTGAAAAAATGCTCAGACACGCTGAATACATGTACAAAATTTACAGTAAACATATGAGCTCGTTACTATAAGAATGTTCCCTGGTTACCACACCGTGCCTTGATAATTAGATATCATATTCGGTGTGATGCACCAGTAGCCTACGTGAGCATACAAGCGAGTATGCCGCACCTCCCGCCTCAACGTAGGCACGCCGGCTTCGTTCCCTGCCTCAGTAGCCTTGATGATTGAAATGCACGCCGCGCACAACCCACACGATTCTACCGACGCGCCCAAGAATCGGAGTTAGAGTCCGGGGTCCGTTTATATTGCCTTCTGGGCCGGCTGACGGAACCTGCGTCATTTCCTTTTTCGGCCGACGCGTTTCCCAGATGTCTACGGGGTTCACAGAGTTTGCCGCCAAGTGGTCCACGGGTTCACAAGTGGCCACTCACGACACCTGCACCCCCTTCCTTCCGCTCCCTGTTTTGTCAGTTCAGCCGCGCTCTTCCCGTCAGCGCTGTCCATGAGCATGAAATGCAGGGCCTAAATATTTGTCACGTGTGTTGCAAGGCGACTGATATGACGCCACAGTACCGAAAAAAGTGGATAAATCCTGTTGCTAAATAAAAAATCCTCTAGCACTTGCTGTAGGCAGAATCCGTGTTTTGCGGGTCCTTGATATCGAAAGACTGATTGACGGCAAAACGTCTGTATGTCTGTCTGTCCGTACGTCCGTCTGTGGCCAACGCTAGCACCTACATCGTTCAACAGATTTTCTTTAAAATTGAAATTTCCCCAAAATTTCCTCTAAAATGGCACCAAATTTTTTGATTAAACTATGTGTTAGGATAGCGTAACGGACGCTTAAGAGTATGGTGTAGGTTTCATTTTCGTCAGATTTTTGAAAATCGCAAAAGTGCAATTTTTTGGGAAAGGCATCCTACAAGATGAAACATCTGAAGATAGAAATTTTGTCTGAAATGAAATCTGTTCCTTAAAGACGAATCTGTAAATAAGTTTCAAAAATTTTTCAAAAATATGTGTAGTTTTCGTATAACTTGGCGCCAACAATAGGCAGTTAAAGAAAATAGTATTTATCTCTCAAAGTCCGCTCCAATTTTTTTCTTTACATTTTTTCACAGATTAGAGGGATGTTGACACGAACGTCGCGGGTCTCATTTTCTTTGAACTTGCTGAATATTCGAAAATTCCAAATTTAGAAATAATGCAAGAAAGTATGTGTTGTTGTAGCACCACAAGTTTGTATGTGAATTATCGTCAAAATCGGCCCGCAGGTGGAGAGAAAGAAGTTTAAAATTGTATGTGACGAAACAGTGTTGTACTAATATCGCTAATATTTTCCCAAGCGTACTACCTATGTTACTTACTTAATAATCGTGTTGTAGAAGAAAGAAGCCATTACTCCAACGCGGAGTCGGGAACGCAAATGTCACCTTTGGCGCCACAGGCATGACGCAACAATGCTATATTTAGTCTAGCGCTGCCTTCACGAAGGTGTAGCTACGCCGTGCGTTCTTTGCTCCCAAAAGGTGTATTCTTGCTTATGTTGCGAGTTGTTAGGAGACAAGGAAATCCTATACCAACTCATGGGAAGGAGAAAGGCGCAATGCAGAGACAGTATTTAGACCAGACATATTTCTTAAACTACGGCGTCCGAGGCGGCGGGGCATGGCGGCATCCCTGAGCAACGACGGAAGGCACAAGAAATTGCAGGCGCCCATTTATAGTGGCTACAGCAGCTGGTGGGGGTGGGGGGGGGCATTGATCAGGTGTCGCCCGCCCGCCCAGCCGCTGCTTGTCGCCCCACGGTATGATAGATCTCACTCGGCCTACAACTAATCTTTTAAAAAGAAACAGGTCCTCATCAGAAGTCGTAATGTTGAAATTCAACTAGATTTTTTTTAAATATTATGTAACAAATATCACAAGAACGTTTGTACTAATGTTGCACCCGTACTTTGACTTTTAGATGCTGCCGTGCCTGTATCAACATTTTGAAGAAATATAAATTATTTCATTTAATTAAACGAAAATTGGTATAGCCACCTTTTGTAAACATCCTATGTTATTTTCCAACAATGTTCATTTTTTATTGAACATGCTTGCTTTTCTATTACGATTTCGTATGATTTAAAAAATTGAATTCATATCTGACGAAATTAATTTATATTTGCAAGTTATATTTATTATTTTCGATAAATAATATAATTAAATTATTTCGATTATTAATTTGATGAGAATAAATGTATATTCTACGTATTCACCATGTTTTCATGTTTTTGTCATTCAATATTAAACTAAAACATGTTAACACTGAGTTTTGCCAATTTTCCTTGGTGACCACGGTAAATACATAACGCAAATACAAAGAATTAGAGGACATGTGATTTCATTTTATTTACAAAGCGTATTACATGACCTGACAACTTCATTCTGTGTACAACGCACAATGACGTATCATTACTGTTAATTACTAGAAATGATATTTATCGGAAGAAGCTTGAATTTATTTCTGATATGACCAATGATTTAAAAAATGTTGCTTCTTCGTGTCAATCGTTTAGGCAGTTCAGATAAATTTCGCATAATGAAAGAAAAAGTTTGCGTATTCGAAAAATTGTCAAGAAAGTACCTCGTTCTTAATATTGTAGAGCGATCACGCCTACTTCATCTCGAACGATGTTTAGCAATGTCAACGTTTATGTACCAGTAGAAGGTATCTTCTGCAGTTGACGCCGCTTTTGCTTCTCAATCGCCATTTATTTCAAACCTTCCTGTTTCTGGAGGTTGTCCTCTGCACTGCAATTACCCAAATGTCTTAGACTCCTCTTTTTATGAAGCGATGCTTTCATCGTTTCTTGAATAGTTCCGTTAATTTCTCAAGATTCTTAGTCAACATTCATTCGTTCCACATACACCTACCACAATAAACTTTCTTTACCCTACGATAATTCATTTCGTATTCACTTTGTATGGTATTGAACCATTTCTAGCGTGATCGAATCTAGATAGTAAGCAACTTAGGAAGAATATCAGAGATCTACATTAAGATGTATGAGTACTTCTTTTTGAAAGGAGGGATATCATTTGGTTTCTGGTCGTTAATACATTTTATGCCATGATACTTTGTTCTCCGACAACGCGTTCTCCATCTGGTTACAATTTCACGGCGTACCAAGTGAAAGAGGTTGTTTAAGAGGTTGTTTAAAGACAATAGTTTTGCATGCCGGTTTGTTTTTCAGAATTTTATGCACGACTTCCAGTTTCGATTCTTTCAGAATTCCCAAATCTATGCCTGTTATTGATAGTTGAATTATTTTGTGCTTCTGCAATATGGTAATTGGTCCCGTTAGTTTAGTGCATATTATCTTCCTGGAGGTGGTGGTGTAGCTCCCTCGCTAGAACGGGAGACTCGGCGACGTCCTACACGGCCTATACTGCCGACCTACAGACATCACGGCGACCGTGTTTGCTGATGACAGGGTGTCCTTAACCTCCCATGAAAATTCATCATCAGAACTTCAAGAATACCAAACTCTGCCTCAGGAATGGTTCACAGAGTATAAAAACAAATGAAAGCAGATCTGTCCACGTGAAGTTTGCACCCGACCAAATAGAAGTTACAATCAATACCAAGGAAATACCACAGGCAGATTGCGTAAAATACCTTCGTTTACTTCTTGATCAAAAAATGACTTGGAAGACACGTATGGAAAAGAAAAGATAAGAAAATCCCTCGAAATCAAAATTAGGCAATGCCATTGGCTTCCAGGTAAAACGTTGTCTCTCTCATTGACAAATAAACTATTGATTTATAAATCAATATCAAAACCCATCTGGTCCTATTGGCTATCCGGGAGACGCCGCGTCGTTGTCTGAGAGGCCGACCTTTCGCCTGACATGTTGCAGGCTTCCTCAGGGCAGTGAGGAGACCAGCCAACGACGCGGCGTCTCCCTGATAGCCGAGAATTTATGGATTCGAGCCGCGGAAGCGTACGTGTAAAAGATGATGTGCGCTCCGTTTGTGTTGGTATTGTTCCGACTTCCACCTGGTATTGATCGGAGAAACTTACCGATCAGGGTAGTCGGCCGCTAGAATTCTCCTTCAGGCTGTATCTAAATTCGACCTATCTACCTAGGAAGCCTCGAAAAATCGCCATCATCGAGGCTTTGGCCTTAGGACCTTCCAGTCCCAGTCCCTGTAGTGTCAACAATTGACGCCCTGAGCTATCTCAGCCGATGCTTACACCTGCGGGTTTTAGGAGACAGTATTCATCAACTCAAACTTTAAATCCAAGGTATTCTTTAGAAGTTCATGTGCTTGTGGAAAATTCGAAGGAAAACTTATAATTGATCCCCTGCAGTACTTCAGAACTTTGCTGAATACTGTTGTAAGCTGTAAGCTTAAATGGACGACAAAAAACTCACCATGGATCAAGTATTTTATATTGGATATCGGTTTTCCATACTTCTGAGGCCGCCGTCATTAAGATATGAATGTTGAATTCTGTTATTCATTACTTTAATTAACATATAGTTAATTAACACATATATAAGGGTGTTTTCCATCATCGGCTCACATTACAAGAAAATGATATCCACAATATTCACAAGTACTATTCGTAGTAACTTTTTCTTGCACTTCTTCTCTTTATTTTTCTGTGCTTTTTCCTTTCTGTTTCTCTACGCATAACATGTTTTGAATTTTATTTATATAAATATGGTCTCTCCACTGACATGAGATCGGATACATCTGTATTCAATATATCCAATTTTTGTTTTTACATTTCGGTAAATAGCCATGTGGATCACAGACCACCATGTAGCCATGACCTTCACTATGAGAAGAATGAACTTTATTTGTGAATTTGTATCCTAACTTGTTCTTGATCGTCATGAAGAGTTTTGAGAAACATTCTAATTCTGAACACCTAACAATGAGGATTAAAATACAACATATTTCTCTGACACATGGGCACATTTATTCACACATGGAAATATCTTATAGGTATATTATATTGTTGCAGATGTTCTTGCGAATATTCTCAGAATTATCCAACGTATCGTATAATAATACGAATTTTGACATTTTTTGATCTATTGAAATATTCCTCCTATTCACAATCTACTCTTTTTCTTTAACCTTTTTAAACCAACTTTTGCGACCATTTCTAACTAGTTTAATTTCCGAATCATTTCAACAATATTGTTTATTTCAATGCCATGCAATGCTCGTAAATTACTGCTCCAATAGTTCATAATTTGGCTAGCTCTGTTTTTAGAGCTCTTGCACGAGTTCCTTACCTTGTGCACGTCGATGTGTGACTCTATTCAGAAATCACGATTAGTGGACATTCTGTGGAATTTAATAATTACCGAATTGATGGTAATTCAATGAAATTTCAGCACTTCTCAATCAATTAACATTTATTATTTAATTTAAACAAAATTGTTATGACATATTCCGAGCTCATTATTAATGAATGGATCTATGGCCTTGAAACATTACAAAAGCGTGCGGCTTTTGTAGAAGTTCGTAAGCTTACAGAATGTTCTTCTCAATTGATGTCCCCGTCTTTTCTAGAAGGGGATGTTCTGAGTCCTCCTATGGTGTAGTTCATGTGCCTATCGCCCGTGTGAACTTTAAATGTTTCCCGACTTACTGTTTCTTACTATTCATTCCGCTATTCGGAAATTCCTAAATCAATGTTATCGCGGCGCAACATTCCCTTACTGGGTCGTGAGAAACCCCTATTTTCGTCTACAATTTTTTTAATTAATAATTTGTAATTACCCTCTACGGGATTATCCTCATTACACCCACGAACATGAAGTATAAATATTTAAAATGCAAAAATTCCCGAACTACAACAAATGTTAACTATCATTAAAAATACAAATATTTCCCCATTAAACCAAAATACACAATACTGCTTAGCCTACACTATTATGAAATATTTCATCTAACATTTACCCACAACAAAGGCTTACTACGGCAAAATTATTTTTCAGTGCCATTCAATCGGTTCGACTGCTTCAGTGAGACTGAAACTTTGTTTCTGCTCGCCTGATCTAGATTTTCAACGCCCTCTCCTCATTAATTCCATGTTAATGGCACCTGGCCGAGCCGTCCCTCGACAACACTGCCTATATGTTTATTAGTTCGTTGCTATGCTGCACGTATTCCTTGCATTCTAACATCATCGATGCATCGAAATTCCGTCGTACATGTACGCTTGATGTCATTTCCCCATTACACTCGTGTGGCATTTGGGTATGGCACAATATGTTTCCAACGAAAAAATGATAATGTCCGGAGATTCCGTTAATATTGAAGCCGTACATTTGATTTGCTCTAATAATTTTCCATTGCTTGGTGTGTCTGATGCTATTAAATCCATAACTTTACGTTTGGTCGTATTAGCTTTATTATTTCACATAGTAGCAGTAG